TTGTCAAGAGCATCCTGCAGGAGCTAGGCTACGGCTTGAGTTGTTTATTCATTTGCTATGTTTATGTGTAATCCTGGCAAATCGTTCATAGCTAAACCCATGGTTCCAAAAGCATCCTAAACCCTTCCAGTCCTGGGAAATACACTGCCCCTGAACAGCCTAGGGGATACAGGCTGGGTTTTAAAGGCAGAAGCAAGACGATGCTCACTGTTTCTTTCTCCTTAAATCAGATGGAGGGGCCAGACCTGGGGAAGGGCTTGGGAATATCCACAGCTCATATTCCCTGTGCTGCTTTTCAGGGATATCAACTCACTCCCATGAGGGTCCCAAAGGAACATCCCTGTTTCTCCTGCATCCTTCAGGGCTGAGCCACGGGTTGAAGTCCACTCACCATCTCTTTGCTGGTCCTCTGCCTTCCAGGGGGATGAGCACTGGGGGGACCATCAGACACAGTGCCTGGCTGCTGGGGTCAGGGCTGCACAAGGAGAGTTGGGTCCAAGTTAGCGGACTGCATATGCTGACCTTGTGAAAAGCAACTGTTTTCCCTCATAGACTGGTTTGTGTTGAAAGGGACCTTCGAGCTCATCCAGTTCCACCCCGCTGCCATGGGCAGGGACACCTTCCACTAGAGCAGCTTGCTCCAAGCCCCATCCAACTCGACCTCGAACACCGCCAGGGATGGGGCAGCCACAGCTTCTCTGGGCACCCTGTGCCAGTGCCTCAGAACCCTCACAGGGAAGAGCTTCTGCCTAAGAGCTCAGCTCATCTCATCTCATCACCTTGGTCAGGTTAAACCCATTCCCCCTTGTCCTGTCACTACACACCTCTCCAGATTTCTTGTTGGCCCATTTAGGTACTGAAAGGCTGATGTATGGTATCCTGGAACCCTCTCTTGTCCAGCCTCATGTCAGTGAGTTTCTGCTGTGAGTTCCAGACAGCTCAGCTGCAGCCATACTAACAAGAGTGGGCTGACACAGATTTTTATGGGGTCAGCTCAGAGTGGCAGGAAAAAGCATTACCTCTTAGTTGTACTCCTCAGCCAGCCATTGATCCGCATTATCCAGACAGCCCTTTCCATTCATCTCTACTTAAAGTGCCTGTGTAGGTGAACCTCCAGGAAACCAGCTTTAAAAATGGGGAGCATTTGCACCTGGCTGCACTTCAGAGTGTATCAGTAAATCAGGCCGATAGGAAATTCATATTGCATTTAGAAAAAGGTTTGCTAGATAATAGTAATGGCTTTGTCTCTTGTCCAGAGGTTGATTTATACTATTGAAACCACCTTTCACGGAAGGTCTTTGCTGAATCCTGCCACTGTTGCCCAAGGGGAATATGACTGTTTCCATTTGAAGGTACCATTTTGGTTTATGGCTTTCATATATATCCCTTTTCTCCCCCAGCACTTCACGTGCTGAACCTTTGCGATCTTGTGAAAGTCACTTTATTCCTGATATAACCCTACAGAAGAAAGCTGGGTCATCTTGGGGACACACAGAGGGACTCATCAGGGTGAGTGGGCTATAAATGACTTTTAGCTGAACACAGACAGGTCACAAGTTTTCCTCACACAACTAAATCATGCTAGTTCCCAGAGCAAAAGTCCAGGGACCAGATTTCAGCACTTTTCTAATCATATGGAGGATCTTGAAAGGAAAACTTGGTTTTCTGTGAACTCCCCCACTTATTTATAGCTGCCTGTAATATAAAAGAAAACAATGGCACTATTGTTGATGCCTTTATTATAAATAAGTAAAAATGGAAGCCAAATTTAGACCCAAATTCAGCTATTCTGCTTTCATCCCTGCATGAAATTTCTATCTACCCAAAGGAAAAAAAATCAAGCACTTTGATGAGGAACATGTCTATTCATACTGAAAGATTATCACAAACCTCCTCAGTACAAATAATATTCACAGGGGTTGCTCCCTATAAGAAGATCATCTATAAGATCAGCTCAAAAAAAGTATTAAATGGAACAAAAGGTTCCTTAATTTGAGAATGTGACAATACTCAGGCCAATGACTGTCTGCTTGTGATTGTTGTCAGCATTCAAGTATCATAAAAACAAAATACGTGCAATATTTGCATTTGTTATAGAGTGATATTTTTATCTTTGGCTCTTGGTAATATGAGAATTGATATCTGAATTTATAATCACCAGAAACTCCCTCTATAAAAATACAACCACAGGCTGTGCAGTTGCTATATATAGTTCAATCTATATATATGTGATACATCACTTACATTACTGAGACACTGCTGCATGGAAAGATTCAAGGGCTTCTAGCCTTATTAGCAGTGCTCGGATGCTGTAACTACCTGCTCTGGCCCAGGATGAGTCAGATCCTGCCTGTACCCATCTCTTCAAAAGGTTCTGCCCGAAGTCAATGGGACATTTGCCTGATTCACAGAGAAAAGTCAGGCTTTCAGTTATCTAGGAATTACACAGGCTCAGACTCATTTCCTCCAGGATCACAACTGATTAAAAGTCTGCAGCTGGGAATCTGGAAGTCTCTGTTCTGCTCCCTTATCAGTTACATCCCCTGTGATCAAGGGATGAACAGACCTATTAGCAGCAGCCTCCATGCAGCACCCAGGGCAAAGGGGCTGTGCATACAGTTTATCAGTGGGCTTGAAAATTAGGTGTTCCAGTTTCCTCAGGGCAAAGCTGATGGAAATGCTTTTGCAGTGGGGTTTCTGTACTTACTCAACAGTTTGCAAGATGATTTTACACCAGTGTTGTTAGCTGGACAGCAAAAGATGATGATTCTCCCGTTACCTTCATATTAAATTAGGAGTTAGCCACCTAGAAGGAAAGACCTATGGAGGAGAATGCCTGTTCAGGAAACAGACTTATGCAGAGAATGACTTGGACACGTATCATCCTAAAAGCTCAGTAATATTTCATTGGAACTCTCTCTTCAGAAATAGGAAAGCTCATTGAACAAATGGCTTTGAAAAGCCTCCTGCTGACACTGGAGAAAATGCTACCAAGAATCAAAGTCTTAGCAGGAGAAAGCAGAAGACTTTTTGTCCTGCCTAACCTCTGCATTACAGACACTTACACTGATGAAAGAACTCTTTATGTCTTTGGATGACTTGAGTGGAATGTGAAATCTTCAATTTTTCAGATTATTTTCCTCCTTCAAATCACTTGAAATGATCAAAGGAAGAAGGGTATGAATCCATGAAGGGAACTGGTAATTTAACAGCAAACTTCTTTACTCAGAGTCTTAACAGCAGAGAACAGCTTCGGCTGACCAAGAATATTCTGTTTAGCTTTGGTTTTCCACCACTCATGTAGGACATACTTGGAAGAGCCCTAGAGCAGCTGTCCTGCCAAAGAGGGTGAAATGCTGTAAGATGATCAGGTACTAGGCAAGGGCTTGTCCCAGTGTGCTGCTAGTGAAATGATATCAAAGCACACTCTGAGCTTTCTATGAAGGGTGGGTCACTGCTGCTACTTTTGCTTCACTCCTGCAGGCAAATGAACTTAATGGTAGAAGATGAGGCATGCAGACACACTGCATCTTTTAAACTGTATTTGTACATGCCGAGCACTGTAGTCCTCTCCATGCCACCTGCAAACTTCACCACCATAGGATACTGAAATCATTTAGTCTTGTAAGAGAAGGGGAACAGGTATAAAAGCAAAAGGGTTTTTAATTCCATGCAATCCACAAAACTTTCCAATAGCTTTGGAGAGGAAAAGTGTCTGCAAATGGATAGCCACAGGCAGCGACACTGAAAAGGACTCCTGAATGTCTTTTGACTTGTACAGCAGCAGGAGGAAAACAAACTGTTTGGAAAATCTGCATTTGATTTGTTTTTCAAGCTGGGAAGCATGGGAGGTGATCTTTCATTTAGATCACGGTAAACAGTAGGGAAAGAAGAAAAGAATTATAAGAGAGTAGAATATGTCTCTCCACGTCTCAAGTACCCTTTGCCCTGTCATGAATCAGGTTTGCAGGAGGGCACACACCAAGGGACTGCAAGAGGAGAAATAACATTCAAGATACTTGGCACTTCAGGAATCTGCATTTAGGAGATAAGTTCAAAAAATGACCTAGAAATGGGAGCTAAAACCCTCTTCTGTCAACAGAGAATTCTCCCATGGGGGGCTGCCAGAGCATGCTAAGGAATGGTTGCGAGGAAGGCGGTTTTAGGTGGGTAGCTCACTCTGAGCTACCAGCACCAGCAAGTTCACAACAAGCAGAGGGTACAGCCATGCAGCTCTGAGGCACCTCCCTTAAAACACTGCTGGACATCCCCATATAGGAGGAAGTAAATTTGCATTATCCATGGCAAGCAGCCATTCTAGGTTCTGGTGCATTGAAATATGTCTTCTATCCTACTCCATAGGGTATAAAAAGAAAAATGGGAGAAGGAGAAAGTTAGATCTAGAGAATAATCCCATAAGCAGCTGCTTTACACCCTGAAACACACTTTGTTTAAGAATTGGTCCATTTGCCCACATGCATTCCTGCAGGCCAGATCAGCTTTCACTGAGAAGATAATTTAGGCAGAACACACATTTTCTACTATTTATAAGACTTTCCTTTTAATGGTTCATCTGCATTGCAGATGCAGTGGGACCAGGGGGCTGTTCACAGCACAGTTGCAATATGTAGGGCAGACAGGATTTATTCACGCCTGCTTTACCTACAAAATGCAGCGGTTCCCAAATGAGAGGTTTTGACCTTGGCCTTGGAAAACAGAGTTATGAACCCACAGAAGCAGAAAAGCATAAAAAGGTTGATATGAGACTGAAAACTTAGAATGCAAAGAACCCAGATGATATCTACTTTACATTGGCTTAGGGCTGTGTTTGGAAGCATGTGGAAATTTAATCTGTACCTCTCTTTATCAACAATGCAATTCCAATGGACATAGGGGGGCTAAGCCTCAAAATGTAAGCAGATCATCGGACTCTTCAAAATGACCTGTACAGTTTGCTCAAGCGAGATGGGTTTTCCACTGAACACACTGACTGAAAAGAAAATGTTGAGGAAAACATTTATTTCCCATTCTAAAATATAACTCTGGATTATAAGGCTTTTAAAATTACAATTCTTGCAACAACTTTACTTCCTCTTCCTCGTCACTATCAGTTACATTGAATATGCGGATGCTGGAGGAAGTAGATGGAGTGGCTGAGAAAAGCTCCTCCAGTCCTCCAACGTGCAGCTGTGGTAGGGGCCTTACAACCTGCCCCTCATTCCAGTTGCTGTGGGAAGGCACTGCTTCAAGGCGCACACAGCTGTGTTGGTTCTCACGTGTACTTTCTTCTGGGTATTCCTTGGAAGGATAGGTTCCATTCAGAGCTGGAAGCATCAATTCCTGTCTTCGGTACTTGTCTTCATAAAAGCCAAAGCGTTCAGGCACTGAGCTGGGGAAATTTGCACAGCCAAATGGGGGACGGCTGAATGGGCATGTGCTGCAATTAGAGAGATTGAAAGTTGGCTTTCAGAAAGGCAGATTGCTGTTCAGCTGCGAAAAACAGAATGACACTAATGTTCTCTGCTAGCCAGCTTTCCCTGTTGAAATATTCAGAACATACATACTTCAAAACCTTGCCTATTTTAAACACTAGGGCCCATAACAGGAGTTGTACACAAATTCCATATCTGTGCATGTGCACCCCTTCATGCCAGATACACACATGATGTTGCTTTGAAAACAAACTGAAACCCCATTGTATTTATGAATGAAATAACATCACGGATAAACCAGCATCTGGTCACCCTTCAGTACGTTAACCAGCATGCTCGAAACAGCAAAAAAAAAAGGCATCAAAAGTCAGTTCGTGTTATTTCTGTATGCCAAAATCTGTGACAGAGATTGGGTAAAACACTGTTACTTATTTTTTGAAGCAAACTCTGGCATCTGCTACACTCTTATTAAACAGGAGGACTGACAGAGGATCCTTGTGGTTGTCAATGTTACTATTTGGAGAATGTACAGTTATAAACAGTGTAGATGTTCTAAAGACATTAATACAATGTCTGCTGAGGCTTAGGGGAAATGATACGTATTTCCAGTCTAATCTTTAAATTTTTAGTGCATAAATCTGCATACATGCATTTGCACTGTCAGGGCTACTCATAAATTATGAGTTTGTATGCGAGAGTTTATAGGAATGTGAAATTATGAATCATTGTATTAGAAAGATCCTGGTATTAGCAAAGCTGGCAGCCTTCCGAAGCCTGCTAATGTATGAACTCAGAACAGTCTTTTATGGTACAAGAACACTCCTCTCCCTCAGAGGCTTCACAAAACTGTCTAATTCCAGAGACCAAGGGCTAAGCAAAGCTCATCTTGAGCGATTTTGGGAATATGTGTCCTCTGTTTCTTTAAAGGACATCTTGTATTGCCAATGTCTTTAAGGGTTAATAGGTCATCAGCCTTAATTTCTGACTGGGTAAGTTACTGCTCTAGGAAAATACTGGTTGCTGCTATTAGTAGGAATGAGCAGTGTATAAACAGGCATAATTTAAGTCTAATTATCATAATAATGTCTATGTTTGATATTGCATAGTCCTGAAATAAAAATGATGCCTTACAAAGAATAAGCATCAGTAGGCCATCAGTCGACTTGTGTTTGAGCAGCACACTTGCTGCTGGGAGGGCATTGGTGCCTTCTAATCATGCTTAGCTTAGGAAATACCCACAGAATATTACATGTGTTAGCTTGTAAATTCTCGGATTAGGTGATTTCTGACTGACTGCCCAGAGACTTCAAAGAAAAAAAACAGGTATTACTACTTATATAAGAATTCTAGAGATATTTTACACCAGGATGGGATTCAGAAATATTGGTAGTTATGGCAGCCCCAATGATAGTACCAGGAGACATCTCACACACCTACTGTAATTCTATCTGATCAGTTTCTAAATATATGTACACTATCTAATGCTTTTCAGTGGAAATCAACTGCACTTAGATGCATAAAGTGGAAAGCAGATACTTATATTTACTGTGGGTCTGCCAGTGCCAATTACTGCAATAGTACTATGGAGCCTTCGGGAACTGGGCATAAATTATGAGCAGCCTCGCACCATACAGGAGGGATAGGAAAGTAAGAGCACCTTTCCTTCTGAAGGCACCATCTGCTTTCTCTAAGTCAAAAGACTGCCTTTTAGCATTTGTTCTTACTGGTATCGTAGTGAAAGGTTTCATTACCTTGATGGGAAATAGTGAGGTCCAGGTACAATGTAGGAGTGGAAAAATGAAAACTGAGGATTTACTCCAAACAGACCAGCTGGCTGAGTAATGTCATAGACATGTGAGTGGAGAAAAGTGGTAGCCTGGGGAAGAGGTAAACCTGTAGGGAAAATAGAAACTCCTGGGTACTCCTTGGGGGGCTCACTATTAGAGACAGAAAATCTGCCATTAGTGTTGGCTATGTTACTTGGGTTTCCACTGAAGCTCTCAATAAAAACTGGTGCAGATCTCGTCAGAGAGCAATTGAGCCCAGATGACACATCAAGAGCTTCTGTCTTAGCAGGTTGAGCAAAATGCTGTGGTGAAATTACAGGGTGCAGGGGCAGGGCTGGAGCTGGAAAAGCCACTGATGCAGTGTTTGCACTAGTAGTCTGGAAAAGAGTAATTGGACCAGCAGGTTGAATGGAAGAAGCCGGCAGACGGATGGCAGGAGGCTCACCTTTAGGAAACAGAACAGTTATTTATCAGACATGAACAGAGGAAGAAATTTCACAAACAGCAGTGTAGCAAACCACAGCCAAATCCATTTTCCCCAAAACACGTCCTAGCATTACTTTATTGCAACTCACTGTCACTTGGAACTCACTCAGCCTTCCACAGAAACCCAAGGGTGAAAGAAGAAGCAATTGGTTAGTGAGTGTTGAGGATGTGAGGCTGGTGAGGTCTGTGTCATGTCCTGATATGGTCACAGAATGGGGCTGGAGTGTGTTTTTAAGTGTCTGAAGCACAGAAAACCTCCCAGATCTACACACTTCCTTTGAGTGAGCCAAATTCTTAACAAATCTTTGTGGTGCCAAAGCAGCAATGAGAAGCAAAAGCAATATGCTTTCTTTTTGTTTCACCAGCAAAGTTCCCACTAGCCAATTTCACTTTTAAATGTACACTTTCAAATCACACCTCCTGTCAACAGAGCTGCCTCTATACAAAAGACTGCAAAACACATTGCATAACTATTTTCAAAGCCCACTACCTAGTTTAAGAGTCTAAATTCCAAGTCAACAGGACTTAGATGCATCTAGATCTTTACAACTTGTATTTAAGAATAATTTCAATCACAATAGAATAGTAAACTCTGAAATGATATATAGTAGCATCTGAGGACATCATAATGTTGTAAAATATACCAGGGTAAGAAAATGAGTACTTTATTCAGTCAAATTTACAGAAGAATTTGAGAATGGATCACATCATTAACTCAGAACTTGACCTAAACAAATCTGAGTGTTCTCTTTTACATCTCTGAATATTACCACACAGTGTAAATAGGCATTTCATTTTCTTGTCTCATCGTAAAGACAGCAGCCCTTGTCAGTATGCTTAAAAATGCCATTAAGCTTTTTGTTGCTGAAATCCACTATTCATACACTGAGCCAGACCTCTTACACTACAAAATAAGCAGGTCAGCTATTACACAGGACTGTTGGCTCTCATACTATACCCTATTTCACTGCCCATATTGACGTCTTATCAAAATCCTTCCAGGCTAGGTGCAACTTTTCAACATATTCCTTCTCTACTTCTATTTTTGTTTGTATAAAAGCTGAGCTCAAACTGTGGGCATGTGCAAGTCTGTAACACCTACATGCAGAACTGCTGTGCCTAGATAGCTAACTAACTTGTTCATGGAAAACGTGCCAATTAAAACTTTCTTCTTCAGATTTAGTGACTGCTTTATCATTGCAGCACAAACCTTACTCACACCCTACTAGCATCCTTTTGGATGACCTTGTTGACAATTCTGTCTGCTCTCTCTTGTAAGCAGCCTAAGTTGTGGAGCATTTGCTCTAGAGCAATGGTGCCCTCACTATGAAGAAACATTAAAACCAGGGTGGAGGTGCCATGAACTGAGCTAATGGGCTTTTTTAGAAGTGGTAGGACAGGGTTGAACACTAGTGCAGTTAGAGCTGGTGAGGTAAAAAGTATGTGAGGTAGAGACAGAGCAAGAAAAGGAAACAGCTGTAGCTTGTCAGAAAGCAAGTGTTGAGTAACAGATATCCAAAAAGACTGACAGGGAAGGAACCAGAGCTACAAATACAATAGCAGCAATCTGTGGGCAATGAAAAAGCCAGAAGGATTTAAAAGGCTGAGGAAAAAGTAGGTAGAGATGGGGATATGGAGGTGCAGTGCAGAGGACTGATAGAACCAGTGGTGTCAAGAAAGACCAAGACATTGTTTTAAGTACATCTACACTACTATATACATAACTTTTATTACAATAGGTAAATTCTGAATTTTTAAAATCATTCACTACTGAAAACTCACAGACTGGATAGCCAATGCTGTTCTTAACATTGGGGATGACAACCGAGTAAGCAGGTGACTGGATGGGGCAAATGCCAGCTGGATTTGTAGTGATGACACTCTGAGAAACACTGGGAAATACAGCAGAGACAGTCAGTGGAAAACGCTTCCTTTTGCTTGGTCGTGGTTGATAAACCCAATCTGTCAGAGATGAAAAAAGACACAGATGTCCCATTTTTTTTGATGGTCTCATTCTTTACATGAAGTTATGGGATCTGTAACTCTAAAATATATAAAAAGAATCCCAAAGTGGCTCCTATAGTCAGTGGCAATACTCCATTTGTTTCAGTGACCCAGCAAATGGGCATTTTATCAGAGGTGGAAATAAAATGGACATATTTGGGCATTGGCTTTATGTTACTAAATAGTAACTGTTTGTGAGACAAAGAAACACAGAACAATTGAGAGTGACATGGCCTTGCTGAGGGAAGCATGTTAAGGAGAACATGACACTGTATTACAGGCTTTTGGTGTGAAAGAAAACTATGACTGTATTCTGAGACATTGGGAACGATTCTTCACTATGAAGGTGATGAGGCACTGGAACAGGTTTCCCAGAGAAGCTGTGGATTCCCCATTCCTGGAAATGTTCAAGGTGAGGTTGGACAACCTGGTTGTTGGAGCAACCTGGTCTAGTGAAAGGGGTCCCTGCCTGTGCCAGGGGGTTGGAACTAGATGATCCTTAAGGTCTTCCAGCCCACACCATTCTGTGATCGATTCTGTGATTCTATTAAAAATGTAGATCTCTCCTGATTGTTTCATTAACCCATTAAGTCTCACACATACCTGCAGTTTACAAGAGACAATGGAAAATATGACCTATTAGGAATCCTGTACAGATTTTGGAGGATTACACTTGGCTTTGCCTTAGAAGATTAACCAAACAGTAAGTGATGTATATTATGTATATATATGAGATGTATATTATGTATATATATGTATATATGAGAGCTGTATGTTATGAATTTACACTGAACAGCTCGGGTTCTTACATAGTCTAACCCTTAATGCCACTTTAAAGGGCAATGAGAAGGGGATGAGAGAAGCTTTTATCTTTTCCTTGTTTATGACAGATTAGTCAGATCTTGTCTGCCGAGATCAGACATAATCATGAACTAGCAGGATTATGACAACAGAGAGAGAAAGGATCACGACACTTGGTATCTCAACAGCTTTTAAAAAGAGTGTTCAAAGTACTTTTGCTGTTTTATTTAACTGCAGCGTTACGGAGAAAGGGATTTGTGAAGGGTACAAATTTTTAACCTTCTTGATGAAAGGTTGAGAAACAACATCTTCCACACCATTATTTGGGAATCCCAAGTCTACACATGGAAGAATCCCACAGAATACAATGCTGTTTGTGTTTCCTGTGGCATTTCCTTTTCCTGCTTTTGAGGAATGAATGCATGTGTCACCACAGGCCACCTGGGCAGCTCTTTCTGGAGGACATGAAATGATGCAGCAGGCCATGTTCACACTAAACTCACTATCTGGCTATTACAGTAGTAAAACGTTCAGGAAAGCTGCTGTAGCTGTGGTGGTCTATGTGAACTATGACGGGTGAAACATCATTTTAGATACTGTAAAGCATTAACATGCTTTCATGCACTAGAAAGCTGACATGAGGACTGCATGCTTGAAACTTTTGTCATCTTTTTCTATTACTTGCTCTAATGAAAGAGATACACTTCTCAAAAAAAATCTTGCACTTCTGAAGCATTCAGATAAATAAAGACTTGTTACTTGTTTACCAGGAAATTCCTCTCTGTGCCTCTGTTTTATTTTATAAGCTTCATCATAATAGGGCTGCTTCTGCTCTTCAGTCAGTTTGCTCCACTCCAGTCCAAGCCGAACACTGATATCTGCATTGCTGGCAGCTGGGTTAGCTTTTGCTAGGATGGGCCGATGAATCCTTGCCCATACCATAAATGCATTCATTGGACGCTTCACATGGCCATTTTTGTCTTTGCTAAATGGAGTGTCTGGCATACCTGTGCAACAGAATAAGGAAAGAGGACCATCTGCCACGCAATATATGCATACAGGTTACATTCAATAGTGCATCAAGAGGATATTTGGCACCAGACAAAAGAATCACTAGAGTTTTGGAATACGTGAATCTCAATGCACATTTGGAGAGCAGTTCCTAGAAAACTAACTAAGGGTAAGGGAGTGCTCTTCACTGACCTCCACTGAACCACTGCCCAAGGAATCACTTACCTGGCTTTTGTTAAATAGTATTAAATAAAAAGAAAGGAAAAGCCCAAAAGAAGCATATGGGACTGCAAACACCCTGCTTTGGGTTTCATTTGACTAGATTGTTTTGCTATGAACTTGTAAACTAAACATTGTATAGCGTAGATCATGCCAGTGCAAATTTGCCATCTCCACTAGAACTACGTACCCAAAGCCTTAGGGAAGCAGGGACCAGATCTAATGGTGATACAGCAGCTTAGTCCCACACCTGTGCAGTCCCTGGCTTCTAAGCTGACATTGTTCCCAGTTTGGGTTTTGGCTGTTGATTTCCCTCTCTCTTTTCTCTGATTTGGACTCATTTTGCTGGAAGAACCCGCATTACCCAGTGACTGTTACATGACACCCAGCTTGGCTCTTTGTAAACACAGACTGCATTTAGATTGGTGTCATGATGAGCCCCCCAGATGCCCACAACTGATCCCTGAGCAAGTGATGTCCTCTCTGAAAATGGCTTTAAAATGAACTCTTCTACATTATCAATAAAGGGGAAAAGTCTTCTATTCTTTCAGACCTCACTTTTAAGTCACTATTTTTGAAAATCTAGTTATCTTTAAAAAAAAAAAATAAATCTAATGCAGGTATTTCAAATGTTCCTCATTTATCATGTCCAAGTTTTCTGAGCGAGGTGTATGAATGCTTCACAGCTTTCAAAATCAAGCAGACTCCTGACCTTAAAACTTGCAATCACATCTCAGTGCAATTCTGAACACCGTTATAATGGGTTTAATGTAATCAGGGAGTAAGTGGACAAAACTGCAGTGAGTTTAATAAGCCACTACTCTGTGCTCCCACATGTTTATTACATCTCACACTGAAGAAGAGAGCTGTACAAACCCCAGTCTATACAAAGGGATGGTTCTCTTCAGTTATGTTCTCCTATCTGATTACCTGTGTGCCACTTACAGTAAGAACCCTTGCAAGCTCTATTAATATAATACCTGCATCGGCGGGGAGTACTGTGAAGGGAACGTTTTTGGTTTCGATCTTTACAGAAGGCTCCGGTAAAGACTGCATTTTAAGCGGCACTTTTTTCACCGGCACTTTAGGTATGTGGAGCAGGCCTGATGGCAGAGGGCCTTGGATCTGGATGCAGGTCCCAGGAGGCAAAGGGTGAACCACAACCGGGATCTTCATATCTTTAGAGGGGACCCCAAAACCTTTACGTAGCTGCACCTTGCCGTCATCAGTGCTGGCACAAACAGGCCCACACAGGGCTCCAGTGGGAGCAGGAAGAGGCCCACACAGGGATCCAGCGGGAGCAGGAAGAGGCCCACATAGGGATCCAGTGGGAATAGGAACAGGCCCACACAGGGATCCAGTGGAAGCAGGAAGAGGCCCACATAGGGATCCAGTGGGAATAGGAACAGGCCCACACAGGGATCCAGTGGGAGCATGAAGAGTGCCACAAAGGGATCCAGTGGGAACAGGAACTGGCCCACATAGGGACTGAGTGGGAACAGGAACTGGCCCACATAGGGATCGAGTGGGAACAGGAACTGGCTCACACAGGGATCCAGCTGGAGCATGAACAGACAGACACAGGGATCCAGCCAGACCATTGGTGGACTCACAGAGAGATCCCAACGGAGCATCATCGTTTTCCACCTTCACCCCACAGGCCGCAAAGGCCACATCAGGCATCTCCACTTTGACAGCACTTTCTCTCCAGGGCTCCTTCCCATTCCCCCACTTCTCCAGCACCTTCACCTCGTTCTGGCATTCATCACCACACACTTCATGGTCCCTTTCTCTCTTGATGACACCGCAAGCCTCTTCACCCACTTCCTCAACATGGGAGCACCCGAACCCTGCCCCTGACTCTCTGCCATCCCCGCAGTAGCCCTGGCCATTGCCCGGCTCCACATCGGGCTCCTCCACTTTGACGTGCACCACCCCGACGGCACCCTTGTCCTCCGGTGGCCGGAGGTGGCCGGATGCCGCCGGCGGCCGCGGGGGGGCGCTGCGGGGGACCGGCCGCTGCCGCCCGCCCCTCGCCATTCCAAGGCCGCCCCTTGGGCGCCCGCGGCCGTTGACGCCAACGTTCGCCGCGCCCTCGCGGCCTCGCCCACCCCGCCCCGATGACCGTTGGTGGAGGCTCCGCCGGTCACGCCCCCGGACGCGGCTGTAACCATAGAGAGGTCCGCCGAGACGCACAGAGTGGCTCCACCGAGTGATGGTCGTTACGCCGCTTCTGTTTCCGTTTCCGCTCTGGTCATGTTGGGCTGCGGGCGGGCCGTTGGAGGTAAGGCGGCCGGGAGCGGGTGGTGGGTGCGGAGCTTGGGCGGCAGCTGCCGCCTCCTCCTATCCATGGCGAAAAGCAAGTTCGAGTATGTGCGGGACTTCGAGGCGGACGATACCTGTCTGCCCAACTGCTGGATAGTGGTGCGGCTGGACGGCCGTAACTTCCACAGGTGAGGGCGGGCAGCTAGTGGCCGGGGTGCTTCTAGCGGTGTGGTTGCTTTGGCGGCGCCTCAGCGAGTGGGGGGGACTGGTCCGGGGTACGGAGGCGCTGGGATGCTGGCTGTGAGTGCTGGGCCGAGAGAAGGGCCCCTGGCTGCTGCCATGCAGGAGCCTTGGCAACTCCCTGCCCGGCTTGGGCGGGTTCCGCAGGGTTAACAAATCCTCCTTTTCCCTGATCCCCAGAGTGAGGCCTTAGCTCGGCCTCTCCGATTGCTACCGGTGCTTTGCCTCCGAGGGCCATGGTTTGATTCATAACGGTGCCTTCGGCAGCGTGGTAGGGAAACGGTTATACCAGTGTCTGAGGGGAACAGCATTTGCTGGGGGAAGGCCAGCAAGTGGTGTACAGCAGTTTTTATTTGTGTTTGGTGTTGGTGTCTGTGCGGCGTTCACCTTTTCTGGGGATCAATAGAATGCAGTTCTCAAGTTCTAGATGATGTATCCGTTGCTGGGGATTTGGTCTCTGGGTTTGTCACAGGGTTCTGGTAAAGCTGTCAAGTTTTAAGAAGTAAATGATAATGTTGCCTGTATTGGATAGAATGTAAAAGGCAGCATGTTTTTTGTTCTTGCTTTTCATACTTGGAGCGAATTCTCTGTATTGACAGGATACTGGAAATCAATATTGATAGAAGGCAAATGTGAGGAAACTAAAAGGGTTGTCATTTTTAGTGGCTTCTTAAGGGGTTCTTACTCAACCGTTTTTGCTTTGAAGGTTTTCTGAGCAGCATGAGTTCAAAAAGCCAAATGATGACCGTGCTCTTCATCTGATGACCAAATGTGCACAGACAGTGATGGAAGAACTGGAGGATATTGCTATTGCTTATGGACAGAGTGATGAATACAGTTTTGTCTTCAAAAAGAAAAGTAGATGGTTTAAAAGAAGAGCAAGGTAACAGCTGCGTTGATACCACATCTCTAAACCTCTGATTTTTTAGGTTTGCCTTTACGCACAAAAGTTTAGAGTTGGGCTGTGTTTGGGTGCATACAGTATGTCTAATTCAGGTTCTTCATGTGAAAGGTTTGCTCGTCATCTTTCAGGAAAATATGTTCAGTGATACAGAGATCTGGAAACAAAATTGATGATAGAAACCTTGGAAACGAGCGTTGATAGAATCAACATTCTTTTAAGAAAATGTTACCTTTTCCAGACTTCCTTGATTCTCAGTAGTTCCTGTTCTTCAGAAGGCTCTGTCATTGCTGATCTGTTGGGCTGTTACTTAAGAAATGCTGCTGTCCACCAGAACGATAGGTACTTACACCTCAGATAATCACAGGTACAAATCACATTGATCTACTTCTTTCTTTTTCCTTTTGCTTTGTGTTTGCAAGCAAGTTCATGACTCATGTGGTCTCCCAGTTTGCCTCAAGTTACGTTTTCTATTGGAAGGATTACTTCAAGGACCAGCCACTTCTGTACCCACCAGGATTTGATGCCCGAATTGTGTTGTATCCCAGCAACCAGAATTTAAAGGACTACCTCAGCTGGAGACAAGCAGATTGTAAGTGTTTCTAGAAAACAGATTTGTGCAGTTGAGTTGTCTTCATCTCTGAATAGAAATGCCTTTATTGCCAGTGTGTATAGGTATCAGTGAAGGAACAGCAGGTAGGGTGGTAGTTTTTAATCAACAATATTAGCATCATTTCGGGCTTTGTATGGATACAGAAATACTGGCTAGAGTTTTGAGCCTTCAGGTTACAACCATATTTGTTGCATCCCGGGAGTGAGTTCAGTGCAAGAAATAGTTTCAAATATTAATATAATGAACTTAACTGTTTTTTATGTTCCAAGTTTGTTTAGCCAGGGGAATCTTGAAGAGATGTGGATGTTCAATCAGTGCTGTATATTCCACACCAGAACACACCTTTGGATTTACTTCCTAGGCATTTGTTGGTACCTAATCCTTATTGCTCAAAGGAAGACAACTTAGATTACACAGAAACACCCTCCACTCTCTGCTCTCCAATTTCAGAATTACAAAGAAATGTGTCTTCTAGTCATTCTTATCCTATGCAGTACCTTAAGAGTTAATCAGAAAGATCACATCATCTCTAGCAGCTGGTATTATTAATTCTGTTTTGTTCTTGGCTGTTCCTTGAGTACAACTCTGAAACTAAAGCTGTATTTTCTGAGTAGTCACTCAGATTTGATAAATTCTCTTTCTCTCTTTTCTCTTTTTCTGTAGGCCATATTAATAACCTTTATAATACAGTGTTTTGGATGCTTGTACAGCGAAGTGGTTTGACACCAGTGCAAGCACAGGATAGACTGCAGGTAAGAGTCTCTTTAGAGCATGTTTTTTTCCAGCTACAGAGAAAATCATAAGATTTGTAAAGCTGGACTTGCCTACCCAGCAGCCATGGCTGGATTGTCTGTTCTTATAATTTTGTGGATGTAGATTCAACTTCAATTGTATGGATGCTAATGTGATTGAAAAACACTGTCTCTTTGGCCAAATACTGGTAGGATTTTAATCCTTCATGAGCAAGTTCAGTAAGCATAGAAATGTCATATAAACATCCGGTATATGTATGCATGAAGTATTATGGCAGGATTCAGCTAGTACTGATTCCCTGTCCCTTCTGTAGGATTTTGCCTGAGCATGCAGACTTGAGCAGATCATTTTCTCTTGGAGTTTGTTGACTTTTATTGGTTTGTCTGGAAGATGTAACCAAACAGACAACAAAACTTTCTCTGTATTAATATCCTCGTTTGGCAGTTGGAAATAATTCCTCTGTTGGAAGAGGTAGTTAAACCCTGTGACTTCAAGGTGAAAACCTGCCAAAATGTCAGTCTTGCACCCAGTGTTCACCCTTTTTCTACCCTGGAGGTTGAGTTTGTTTTTCTTTAAAAGTATTTTCTGTTTTCATTTCCTCTCAGGGGACTTTGGCTGGAGACAAGAATGAAATACTCTTTTCTGAATTCAACATCAACTACAACAATGAACCTCTGATGTACAGAAAAGGAACTGTCTTAGTATGGCAAAAGGTAAAAAGCTGTATTACCACTTGCTTCAAGCTCATTTTTAGTAGGTTTTAGTAGGGACACTATGGCAGATAAGCTGGACTGTAAGATCCCAGCTATATCCCAAATATATGTCGATGTATTTAACATGTCTATGTATTAACTAACCATATTTAGCTTATAATGATGTGTGAGATGTGTAATTATTTTGGAGATATTTTTGAGAGATGTGTATCTATGAGCATAGTATAAAAATTGGTCTTTGAAATGTGATTTGGGTACAAATTATGACTGTTGAGCTAATAGATGTATCAGTGGCTGAGGGGTGTTGGACTAGATGATCTCCAGAGGTCCCTTACAACATGAATGATTCTGTGAATTACACAAGACTGATGTTTTTGCTAGACAAATCTACTTTGTTTAGGGAATTGTACCCTTGGTTTCTTTGTGTTACCAGCTTTGAAAATGCAGGAAATATTCTGCTTCCTGAAAAACTACATTTTACTGACTTTTGTCATTCTGATATGATAATTGTTGGGACCTGTGTCAGGCCCTTCTTCACAGGACTAGATCCCAGGTATTTCCATTGCAAAGGAATTCCAACCTTTTGGCCTACTGTTTCTTTGTTTGGCCTACTATTACTTTGACCTAATTGGAATGGATAGAGGCTTCCACCTGGGAATACATTCCACTTGTTCCTTATGCATATTTTTTCTTGGTAATAACGTTCGCATGGTTTCCTATGTGCTTTATATAGCTCCAAATTAAATACTGTATTTTATTCAGGAACACTTGGAATCAGGTGACTTTGCAGGTCATTTCTTCAAGCCATGTGATGATGACATGCAGTTTCAGCTGCTCCTGGTTGAACTGAAAATAGGCTTTCTTTCAAAAGATGCTATGTAGCATGCTATAGGGTTGCCAGTTTCTATTTTTTGTAGCTTTGGTTCTTATCCATTTGTGAATTTTCTCCAGAGTCTTTCCTGTCTGCTAATGTGTCAACTGTATTTTCAGGTTAATGAAGTCATGACTAAGAAAATGAAACTCCCGAAGGAAGCAGAAGAAAAAGAAATTGAAGTGACTCGGACTAGGACTGAAGTTGTTCCCCTGCACTGTGACATTATCGGAGACCAGTTCTGGGAGGAATACCCTGAAATTCTGGATGAGGGTAGTTAATATCTCTGAGTATGCTGTCTGACATACAAGGATATGCCTGGATGGAAAACTAAAATTCTAGCAGATTTTGAATGTTAAGGAATGATAATTGAAGACTGCTTTTTTCTTGAGCATTTGTATTTGTAGAAAAAGTATACAGAAATGCCCTGCATTTCTATAGCATTTAAATGAAATCCTAAAACTCCACTGCGCAGGCTGGAAGGGTGTCGTGGTTTAAGCCCAGCCAGACAGCTGGTGCACTCACTTCCTCCCCCCCCCCCCCTTCTTGCCCTCCCCCTACTCCCGTAGGGGTGGAGAGGAGAATTGAAAAGAATGTGACTCCCACGGGTTGAGATAAGAACAGTTTAGTAACTAAGGTATAACACGGATCATTACTGCTGCCACCAATAATAATAATGATAAAGGAAATAACAAGGGAAGAGAATACAACACCTCACCAC